CATATTTCTGACTTGCATAATTTTGACAGGATATATTTTTATGGAGAGCAAAATATTTAAAGTTAAAGTTTATTTTTTTTAAGTTTATTTATTCTGGAATTATATTCCTGTCTGTATTCACATTTATGTTTAAAAAACATTGTTTTAGTGTGTTCAATAAATATTTATCTTGTTTGGCCCGTGACCTAAAGTGTGCCTTGAGGTTTGGCCCCCTGTGCAATTGAGTTTGACACCCCTGCTTTATAGAGTCTGCAGTCAGACAGGGTCAGGTGTCTTTACAACTGCTTCTGCTCACGTTGCATCCTTATTCCTACCATCTGCCTTTCGCTCACTGCTTACTGAAAACTCACTGCTATCAAAAGTTTAAAAGAAATGCATTGTTCTTACACAAATTAAAACTGTTCCCCTTTATTTTTGATCATCACGTCAGACTTTAAAATTCACTGACTTGTGTGGCAGTGATTTGTTCTTTCTTATTCTAGCAGTGCAGCTAATGCAGGGCCAAAGCCTCCCACAGGGGTCCCTCCATTGATTTGTTTTGTTATTGAGAAACTCTTCAAATTCAAAACCCTGCAGGTCTGGAGAACAAATATTTGTTACTTTCCTCAGATACTTGGTGTTGTGGATATTTGATGAAACTATACACCGCACGGTTTGAATATGTTGGTTGATACACCATCCACTAATCCCTTCTGTACCGATATCAATTAAATGGTACCTTAAAGACTTTATGTATTTATAAACTTTTGTCTTTTTGACTGTTTATTAGTTTATGAAGCATTCTGAAGTACCAGACTTTACACTAATGGCTTCTGCCTAAATAAAGAAACAAAAAAAGGCAGCAGTACTCTATCAACTGAAAAGTGACAGTGAATATTGACTTGTGGCAGGCAGGACATGACTTAGGGTGACGAGTGACTTTAAAAGATTCTTTTGTGGAACAAAGGTGAAGCTAAGAGGAAGCAACAGGTGAAGACATGGAGCATCAATATGAAGTTGGGAGGACAGGAAGAGAGAGCGTAAAAGAAAGTGAGGGCAAGGAGGAGGGCAAGAGCATTCATCCAGCACATGGAATCAGTCGAAGAAATCAATTTTTAATTTGGCCATCAGGATGGCAAAGCCGTTGGTGTACCAACGGAGCTACCGCACTACACTTAATTACACAAAGCTGCCCCTGAGAAAGGGAAGATGGGAGGCAGAAAGAAAGAGATGGAGAGAAACGATGAGAGAGGCAGGAAGAGTGACAAAGATGAGCACACGAGGAGAGGGTGGTGTGAAACGAGCGATAGCAAGGTCACTGTCTGCGAGAGACACAGGGTGGTGGAGGTTGCAGTGGGGAGACAGATGGTGACATATACAGAAGAGAAGAGAGGAATCTGTGGAAACAAGACTTGGGGGCTGAGGAGCAGAGAGACCTGATTTCACACCCCACCTCTCTGATTAGGAGCCTAAGGAAACACGCATCACCCTGTGTATGATCATAGCATGTGGGTGACTTTGAACACATGGAGGCGCACATACACAGAGAGCAAATAAAAACTTCACAGGGCTTCAGTGTCTCTTTTGATGCCTTTTTACTCTTCTTCTGCTGCGCTGTTCCTTTGGATTTCTACTGCCTGGAGGGTGCTGGCCGAGCGTATCAAAGGCATTTGACCACGGTGGCAGCATGAAAGCTTTGCCCTGGACCATAACACAACTGATAATCCGAGCTGTGCCACAGAACAAGCACTGCCTAACCCCCAACCACTCACTTTCTTTTTCTTTAGCTGCTACAGCTTTACCTGGTGCTCTCAGCTGCTCTCATTGCAGCTTTTCTCAATAGCTTTCTGGGTGTGGTTACTTTTCTGGCTCAATTTAGTCTAAAAAACCTTGACCTCAGCAGGAAATTACAAACCGTAAGGCTGCTAGAAAAACAGCCTAAGGCTACGTCCACACGTACCCGGGTATTTTTGAAAACGCAGGCACGTAAACGGCGTTTTCAGTCACTAAAAACTGAGATTTCTAAAAACGCCTGCCAGGGTGGATAATTTCGAAAACATTTTTGCATTTACATGTGGACGAGAAAAATGGAGAAAACGCAGCGTCAAAGGTGTGCGCCTTTTTTGACGTCACACTGTGCGCCACGTTATTGTTTCGGTGAAATGAATTTCTACAATACTGTTACTGTTAATTGTACTCTCTGCAGTGTTTAAATGCTTACATATACACACAGTTACTGTCCCCCCACACATACGACTCTGTTCTGCTTCTATGCCCCAGCTTTGTTTACTATTTCCCACCCAGGCTTCTAGACTTCTGATTGGCCAACAGGAATATATCGCCACCTGTTGCTTTGGCATGTTCCTAGCAGCGTTTTCTTTCATTTCTGCGTTTAGTGTGGACGGGATTATTTTTTTAAAACGAAAGCGGAAAATCTCCGTTTTCAAAAATACCCATGTACGTGTGGACGTAGCCTAAGCTTAAGCTTCTAGTAAGTTCACGTCTGGGTCATGTATCTTTCTGGCCTGTCACCAAACAGATGTTCAGCTATTGAGTCTGAAATGTATTACTTTAAGTCATAATTCTAAGAATAGAGTAAACTACACTTAAATGATTTGCTTTTCTTTTTCTCACTGGGGAAAGTTTCATTCTATCTCCAGTTTTACACTGGAGATTCAATGTAGCTTGGGGGTACAGGCAAGAAGTCCAAAAGTAAATACATAAAAAACTAACACAAGCCCCCAGATGCAAACATAGCAAGTATACTGTGGAGTAAGATATCCAAATATCCAAAGAGTTCACAAAAGAAGGAAAGTTAGTTTTTGCTGAGCTTAACCAAACAGGAGCTATTACTTTAAAAAAAACAAAGATGAACATGAATACCAATATCTGATGGTTACACCACTGCCCACCTGTCTGGAACTTGCTCCCTTTTCTTTGTACAATCATCTCATTATCTCTTTGTATCTCATCTCTGTCAAAAACCTTCTAGTTATCATTAAACCCCCCACCACCACCACTTACGTTGTTTTCATTGTGCAGTCCAGTCAAACAGAAATACTTTTTTTGTTGCTGTCACACATTCTCTCCCTTAGCTTTAAATAGAAGATTACACAAATTAAATATCAAGTCTTAACACATCTGCTCTTACTTTTCATTTCTAAAGGTTTGGTCACACTGGTTCCTTAATATCAATTTCTTTTGTTACTACTAGCTCTTACCACTATCTTTTTTTTAAACATTTAGACAATTTGCCTTTCTTGTGCTTTGTCTGTACACTGATTGTAAATCCAGCCTTGTCTTGATGAGACAGAGGACTGTTAAATGCCTAGGGAAGTTTAAGACCCGCAAGGGATTCTTCTGATAGCAACCCAAATAATGAAAGTGTAATTCTACAGGGATAATTAAGTTAGAGATAGGGTGATTACTGTGCGATCCATTAAAAGTGATGGCAAAAGTAATTACTTATTCAATCAGCATGGTTTTATGAGGGAATGCGATGGCACCATGTTGCGTCGCCTCTATACAAGTCATTACATTTACAAGGGCATAGCACTTTGAGCTGTGATTGGTTCTCTTGACAGCTTGTTCAGCCATGAATTAAGACCTTGGTGAAAATAAAAGTAATTTTTATCAAAGTTGAGTTGAAATAAAAATTTTAAAAGGCAACTGTCGTCTATATATCCATCCACAAATATAAGTGGACGTGCTACAAATTGTGATCTGTCTGTGTTCTGCGGTGTGGTTAGAAAGAGAGAGGCTTCAAAGGGATTCAGGAAGCTGTATGTCTGACACCTCCTACTCTCACATATGGGAGTTATAAATGCCCAGACGGATGATTCTCCAGAGAAAGTGTCAGTCAACACAAATGTGTTTCTGTAAATATGTGTGATGATACCATGCAGCAAACTGTGTCATTTGTTCTCACTTTGTCTAAAACAATAAAAAATGCTTCTAATTCCATACTGTGGTTTTTGAGCCACCACTCATTTCATTACATTTTGCTTCTGAGGAGCCAGACTTTGTAAGACTTGAAAAATAGTTCTTCAGGCTTTTTGAAGGTTTTTCACAGTTTTTCTTTGGACATTGGCTACTATTTTCAGTCCAGTCATTTTACCTAATCAAACTGGAGAAATACAAGACAAAAGAAGAACTGGCAGGTTTAAAAAACTATCAATAGCAGACAAACAGTGTCTGAACGTCGTGTCCATCAGAAATGGTCCTACGGAAAGCGTGACCAACCTGTTCTGAAGGAAGGGAGACAAGGAGAAAATGCTCAAGTACTGATGAACTGGTCTTAAAATTGTTAGCAACAGGTCATTTTAAATTTTGGTTCAAATCACTATGAATATGCACAACGGAAGTGAAGAAAGATGTACAAAAGTGTACAACAGATCTCTGCAGCCATCTGCAAAACAGATGGTGGTTCTGTCATGGTTTGGGATTACATTTCAGTCAATGGTGTGGGAGATCTCTCACAGCAAAGTACTGTTTGCCATGCAATACTATCTGGAAAGTACCTGATACATAGAGTACAGCCCTTTGACCATTGATCATTGTCGAAATTTAGCAATGATTACACAATGGAACACTATCAGTCATGGACTAGCCTTCCTAGTCACCAGAACTCAACATTATTCTGTCAACACGTCACACATAATCTGGAACAAAAGGTAGCCAACACCCAAAGAAAAGCTTGGAAAGAAAAACATCTGGACTTTTGAAGACGTTTCACCTCTCATCCGAGAAGCTTCTTCATTTCTAAGAGCAATTGGTGGAGAGTCACAGATTTTATGAGAATGTCCCCAAGAGGGTCACGGACCACATAATGATCCTCTACTAATCTGGGACTCTCCACCAGTTGCTCTTAGAACTGAAGAAACTTTTCGGGTGAGAGGTGAAACAGCCTCAAGGAAACTCACCTACCTCGTACCAACCTCGTACCCTACTTCGTCAAAGAAAAATGCAAATTTCAGTTGGTTTGTTCATAAGAGTTTAAATATTAAGCACTTTACACTTACGTCTTTCAGGCAGCCCATGAAGTTGTTGCTGACTGGAGATCCAGGCAGGTCTGCAGTGTTTGGACTACCTCCAATGTAGAAGAAGTCATCAGAGCCCAACATAGTGTAATCTTCCTGGGTGTAACCAGTGGTGGTCAAAATACCATCAACTGAGATGGTCACCTGGCAAAGGCATGTCCCAAAAGAGACAGAAAGGAACAGATAGAAATAGAAATATAGAGCAAGAATAGAAAGAAAAAAGAAAATAATAAGAAAGGAGGGAAATTAAGAGAAATGGGAGGAAAAACAAGGAAGAAATTGGATTAAACACAGACGCTTGATTGGGTTGTACCTTAAATTGTATCGCTCAGTTGGTGGTTTTTTGGTGTTGGTCAGACTGAGGGCTTTCACTTTAGAGTGCAGTTGCTAAAGGTAAACCAATGGAACAACAGTGTGCCAAATGTCTCATCACTACCAGTGGTAGAATAACTAACCTGGTTTAGCAAACTCAGTGCAAAGGCCATGATCTATAGCCTCAAGAATGAACATTTCAGTCATGAACACTAAAAACAGCTATCTAAACCACACACTATGAATTTAAAGTTACATAAGTACAAGAACTTGACATTTTAAACAAGCACCATGTTTAAAATGTCAACTGGGCTTTCCCTGTGATTGGCATAGCTACGTTGTAACACTCTTCATTCACAGAGCTACCAGTAAAAATGACTTCCCTTTTTAATATTTAATTGCCTCCAGTTTCATATTTTGTGCAAGGCCCTACATTCTTTGCTGAATTTTGACTGGTGACAGAAGCACCAGGTGGAACCCAGAATCAAACACACGGCTGCAAGCTAATGGTGTGAGATAATGTGTGAACCGAAGTGCAGAAATGATGGCCCCCATTTTTTGACATCTCCGGGGATCTACTAAGTTTTGTATTTTTTTAATGTGATCTATTATACTCAAATCATTTTAAAGTTTTTTTTAATACTGATTCCCTCTTCTACTGTTTTGCTATTAATAGAACATCATTAAAAGAAATACAACAGCATGTGTGGGAACCACTCCTATAGTGACTAGTCCTTAAAACATGAGGTGAGAAAGCTCTTTTCATGTTACACCTGACCTTATCCCATCATTAGAAATAATACCTGAAGATTAAATGAAAAGAAGAAATC